CCATCTCCCCCCAACGGGTGACTCTGGGAATTAATTATATATGTACTAATTCCTTCTGAGTTTAAGTATAAGCAAGTCTTTCAGTCATTCACCATGGCATTCTCTTTTGACAGAAAGCTTTTTTACATAATGTATAGTATGTTCATTTTATTCTGCTAATAGGTCTTTTTAAACCTGAACTTGAAAGTTCTGTATTTAAAAGCACTTTCCCTCTCTGTTAGGATTGTGATGACAAAAACTAAATCCTGCTTTTCTTTTATTCCCAAATAGAGATCTTCTAGAATATACTTCATTGACTTTCTCCTTTCCCATACATAGCAATCTCATTCCTGATCAACTGCAGAAAGCATGCTATTAAATCCTGTGTTTAATATCACATTCAGTTTCTCCCTAGATGTCTAAACTAAAATGAATTTGAGATGTAAAACAAACTTGTGAGGTAATGTGTGAAGTAAAATATAACTTGTGAAGCAAGCTCCTGAAGTAAACCAAACTTGTGAAGGAACATAGCCTTTTGGACTAAAGTAACATAGACTCCTGAGAGGCTGCACAGTTCAAATGTTAAGTGTGAATGTCTATAGGGAAAAGGCTACTCACATTAGAAATTAATACTTGCACACTAAGGAGTTAGTACATTGAGTCAGGCTGTATATGGAAGCCTAGGCCTTGACAAACAAGTCCATTTTAATTAATTTTAAAATAATAGAATGGAGAAGGCAGAATAAGAGTTTCATTATAGAATCTAGATGGGTTTAAGAGTGAGTGGACTATTATAAAGTTGACAAACATATCAAATCATGTAAAGCAAAACCATATTAATCACTGATGTAGACATATTGGAAATACAAAGGAGACAACAGCATGTTTCAGAACATTCCAGCTGGCCCGAGAAGGACCAATCAGGAACCAGGGAAGTTGGTTGGCTGTGAAAGATGACCAATCAGAAAAGGAATGGAACCTAGCAACTTGGACCTCTGAGGCTATAAAAGGTCTGGATTTTGTGGACCAGAATTTCAGAGGGTCTCTGGTAATTGCTTGACCTCTTGCTGTGCTGATTTGCATTTTTGCTGTATTCAACAAGATAATTAATTGAACTGACCATTCAGTTAAGAATCTGCAACTTGGTAAACATTTTCTTTTTATGTGAATACATATATTAACTGATTTCAAATTTGTATAGCTGCCCATCTCACAGAAAAGCAACTCTGGGCAGCTTACAACAATCCAATAAAAACAGCACATAGATAAACAATCAGTATAAGAATATAAAAATCAATATTAAAAGATACATATGATAAAAAAAAACAAATATACAAACCCTAGGCAAAAGACAATAAGGATCGCTAACTCAGCAATGGAGCCATCTACGCACATCCTACTCTTCCACACATGCTCTGAAAAATTGCCATGTTTATTATTTTACACATTGTACAATTTAATGCATCTTAATTTTTCTAACTCTTTTCTCTCGCAGCAACAGAGAAAGAATTCCAGCCTACTCTTCTTGTAATCTGAATGTGGAAATGCATAGCAAAATATACTTATTTTCTAGGTGATCTCTAGATTCACAAAATGCCCTCTTAGATCAACAGAAAAAATTGAAGCTAGGCATTATGTGAAAAGCACAAAGCATGACCCTTTGCCTACTTTCCAACATTTCCCTTTCTCACCTCCAGAGGTACATTTAAGTTGTTTGAATATTTTGCTCATAGAGAAGGGAAAAGAGGAGCAGAAGACATGGGTTCTGTTCTCACCATACAGAAAAATATTTTCACAGATTATTCTATTTTTTTCTGCTTTTAATCAAATATGATCCCCCCCCCCCCCTTGTAATCATGTAAGGGAAACATTGTTCTAATATAGCAATGCTTTTTAATAGCCAATATGGCTATGTCTCATATAAATATAGAGAAGCAAATGTCATTAAAAAGAAAATGGGAAAGCTTAGTCTCTTACTGGGCTGAGACTTGCTATGGTGATCTGTCATTCAAAGAGATCCAATAGCCATTGATTTAATTAATGTTAATTCAATGGCTATTTGGACTATGGGGACAGGCTGTGAATGAAGTTTTGGATACTGGCATTTTTGGTGGAATTCTGCAATCATCAAGCTATAGTTAATGTAAAGAAGCAGTCGTGAAACCACTGCAGAAGCTGTAATTGATCACCTGTTTTGAAATTCTTTATTATCCTCATTTCTACCTTGCCACAGTGATCAACACAGAAAATACAAAATGAAGGTAAAAAGGAATTTAAGACCTGCAGAAATGTTCTCTCTCTCTTTCTCTCTCTCTCTCTCTCTCTCTCTCTGTGTGTGTGTGTGTGTCTCTGTGTGCCTTCAAGTCAGTCTTGGCCCTGGTGACTGCCGGACCAGTCCCTGAAGTTTTCTTGGCAAGATTTTTCAAAAGTGGTTTGCCATTGCCTGCTTCTTCCTAGGGCTGAGAGAGAGTGACTGGCCCAAGGTCACCCAGCTGGCATGGTGCCTAAAATGAGACAAGTACTCAAGGCCCCTCGGTTTCTGGCTGGATGCCTTAACCACTACACCAAACTGGCTCTTTCACAGAAATGCTGAGGTCATCGTAGAACTGTTGAAAAGTAAAACAGTAACGAAGATCTATCTTAGCTCCTTTTCTGAAAGGTGGAGAATTCAAGGCCAAAGCTAACTCCTGAGAGATTGTGTGCCATTGTTTCTGAGGGAGTAAGGAGAAAGCCTTCTTCCACTGGCCTGACATTTACAGCATTGGCTTTCCTACATATGAGGAGTATGAGGAGAGATTCATAACAGGAGAAGAAGTCAGATCTGAAGGCAGGGATAAAAAATGGATAATCGGTGTAGATTTTTTGATATGGGCGTAATAGAATCAGGGCCTTGTATACTAGTTAGCTGCTTGGCTGCTGGAAGCTTTCCTATATCTAAGTAGCCCTTGCTTAGAATGATTGGAGTAGTCTAGTCCAGTGTTTCTCAACCTTGGCAGCTTTCAGATAGGTGGACTTCAACTCTTCAATTCTTCACCTAAGAATCACTGCAAATCAGATCCATCAGAGAACCCTGTACAATGGCTGATGGTATTAAAACCTGCCAAGAGGGCGAAGAGAGGTTAAAGCATCACAGTGCTCACATATGCAAGCACAGCAATCAGCTTTGTTTCCTTCTTGCATTTTCCCAGGTTTGACTCCCTAATTTCTGCTGCAGGTATTGTTATAAGAGTGTAGTGGTTACATAATTTGCCTACCTCCAGAAGGTTAATTGGCAGAAAAAAAAATTTAATTACTATTTTTCCTTCCCAGATCCGCCCACTTTTTGCTGTTCGTTTTTTAAAAATCGTCCTCTGGTGCATTCTTTCATCATTTTTGTTGTCATTTGCTACATAAAATTTTCATCCTAGCTTCCCAATAGGTCAAACTAATAAGAGGAAGGAAGGAAGGAAGGAAGGAAGGAAGGAAGGAAGGAAGGAAGGAAGGAAGGA